TTTTTATAGACAGTTACTTCCTTAAGTTGACAATTTAATGTGCTGTATTATTTTGTTCATTGCGCCCTCCTGTGGCATCGGGAGACAAGCCAAAAGTTTAACCTATTTAATCTGCATATAAAACATTAGAAATGAGATATTTGTTTAATTTTTATTTTGTTTTTGACTGTTACAACAAAAAAATATTTGTTGTTTGTCTCAATAATTATTAGTTAATTTAAAAATACAGTGGTTAAATTAAGTCATTATAATCCATATTTATGTCCTGGATGACTGGATGCATCGAATGCCTCGTTTATAATGGGTTTTAATGTTTTTGTCACGTCACTCCAGCCGGACAGGGCATCACAATATGGTAAGGGAAGTAACATTTCCGTCACACGCTTGAGGTATTCGGCCAATCACAACGCACTGGATAGCTGGCCAATCAGAGCACACCTCGCTTTTTCAGACCGATGAGCTTTGTAAAAATCGATGCGTTTCAGAAAGGCGGGGCATAGAGGAGAAACAATAATGTACAGTTTGTGGAAAATAATGTTTTTTTTTTTACCTAAAATTGCATAAACACATTTCATTACACCAAATACACAAAATAATGTTCTTTTTTAGCAACATCATATGACCCCTTTAAGAAAAAAAAACATTTTCCCTGAAAGATTGAGTCAGAATAGTTTGCAAGAGTCCCATTTATTCACCTGTTAGCAACCGCTTTTTTCAGGACAAGTTAAAAGCTTAAAAAAAAAAGTCACAAATTGGGTATTTAGGGCCCTATGATTTCTGTGATTCCATGAATTTTAAGGAATAACACAGTTTTTCTTCCATGCTCTCATTTTAACTGCACTTTGTTTGATTATTTAAAAAAAAAAAGGAATTATTAAATATTCATTTGGTTGCATTTTGAAAAAAAAAATTAATTGTTAAAGTTTTGTCTTCATTTAATTACCATCATTTTTAATAATAAACCATTGCGCCCTATTATTTTTTAAATCAGTTGATTAGACATGCTTTTTGATTCTTAAAATTCAATTAAACCTAATGTACAGTTTGTGGAAAATAATGTTTTTTTTTTTACCTTAAATTGCATAAACACATTTCATTACACCCATGAATTCCATGAATTTTAAGGAATAACACAGTTTTTCTTCCATGCTCTCATTTTAACTGCACTTTGTTTGATTATTTAAAAAAAAAAAGGAATTATTAAATATTCATTTGGTTGCATTTTGAAAAAAAAAATTAATTGTTAAAGTTTTGTCTTCATTTAATTACCATCATTTTTAATAATAAACCATTGCGCCCTATTATTTTTTAAATCAGTTGATTAGACATGCTTTTTGATTCTTAAAATTCAATTAAACCTTTAGAATCCAAAACCCTTTAAACGGTAAACATGAAATTTGAGAAAAATAAAGCTGAATTTGGTGAAAAATAAAACAGATTTCATAGGGCTCTAAAAAATTAAGTTTTATTGTTTTTTAATAAATTGCTGTTAAATTGTATTAATTTCATGATTTAAGTTATTTAGACATGCTTTTTCGATTACTACAATTTAAAATAAGGAAAAAAACGGAATCCAAAAAAATGGAAAAGTAAAAAAAAAAAAAGGAATCCAGAAAAATTAAAACAGAAAAAAAATATAATTTTTGCCTTCATTATGATAGGACAGTAGCTTGACAGGAAGCAAAGTGGGAGAGAGAGAGGGGAATGAGTTCGGGAAAGGTCCATGAGCCGGGACTCGAATTCAGGACGCCCGAAGTGCAACAGCGCTGTATGTCTAGTTATTTATGATGTATTTTATATCATAGAATAAAATGTGAAAATATCTTGAGCTTGTGTTAACCACAGACCTTATTTCAAGCATTTAACCAAAAAGCCATTCATAAAAGCCATTGACTTTGGCATGATGAAACTGGTTGTTTTCAGGTTTTAGGATTTCTGTAGCATTCCTGCAGCACTCTATACCGATTTAAATGAAAAACCAGTACAAAATTTTCAACCAGTTGATTTTTAAATACCATCCATTGATGTCAAGCCTGGTACAGTGTGTCTAGATTCAAACACACATTTAAAATGAAAGCTGTGGCTTTGTTGGTTTCCTGAGATTTCAGTGTGTTTCTCACACAAAGTTACTATATGGATAGAGAAGACAAATAAAGCTCACATATCCATATTGATTACTTTTTATGATACTTTTATGGTGCTTTTTGAGCTTAACAGTCGTAGTCACTAAACTGTAGTTGAATGGACGAGCGTAAAATGCTTCATTTTGAGTTCCATGGATACAATAACAGCACATGGGTTTGGTCTGACATGATGGAGAGTAAATAATGACAGAATTTTGATTCTGTTCCTTTGAAGAGCTCACGATGCGGCGGTTCTCGTCTCCGTTCCTCCCTTCCATCAAGGCTTCCCACGCTTCTGTCTTCGATTTTCCATTTCTTTGTGCAGATTGTGAGGAATAGAGTTTGTTTGGATATTGAATATTTGTTGGCGAGTGCGATCTGTCGTGTCTGTGGTTTCCTGAGGCAGCGCTGCTGTCATTGGCCTCCAGACTGAGCTGTCATTGTGAGGCTTGACGGGCAATGGGTGACTGCAGTCGCTGTGGGAACTCTGTCCTTGGGAAACACCGGGAGCATGTGAGCTCAGCAGACCTCCGGCTTTGCTGTGGTGCCACAGTGAGGTTTCTAGCCAATGGGATCGAGGCAGCCCTGAGCGTGCTATAAATAGCCTGACGGGCTGCGGGGCAGTGTCAGAGCTAGTCTCACTGCTAAATGGACAAAGTGTATTGCTGGGGTTTGATGGATGCCACGCTCTTGCCGTGACACCTTGCTGATGATAGGGAGAGGAGAAGCGATTGGGTTTTTCTGCAGTTTCTCATTTAGCTGCACACTGCAGAGATATGGTGAAAGAGATGTGCAGTCAAAAGATTTATTTGTCAAACACATTTTCATTATTTTGTCATTGTTGTTGGATGGTCTAGCCATGCAGGAGGCTGTTTGCTGGTTGTCTTATGAAAGCATTAACACATGCAAATTCTTGTTGCATATGTAGATTTAATTGCTTCATCTATTTTTATATTTTATTCTGATTATCGAGTTATCTGTCAATTATATTTATATTTATGTATTTATATATTATCTGCTTATTTCTTTGAATGAATCAAACAGTAGATAGATCTATACATAAGATAGATCTATAATACTATATAATCTGATGTATTTATTTCTTTATATCTTTGTATTATATATTTATTTGTAAAATGTATTAAATAGTTATTTGAATCTACGCAAAATATGTATTTATATTATATAAATTCTTGTACCATATGTAAATTCAATGGCATATTCAATTGAGATTACATAGTTCCAAAGTAATCTCTCAAATGTTTATTTTATTTTTTTTCATTTATTTGCTGATAATTTCTTTGAATTAACTTTGTATTAACCAAGTATGTACTGTAGACACACACAATAACATTTTTGAATTCTTTATATCTTGATTTCAATTTATTTATATAAATAAAACAAAAACAAATAATTATTATATTATAATTAGATTTATATATATATATATATATATATATATATATTTCTGTATTTATAAACATTTAAATTAAACTTTTAATGCATTTAAATAATCATTATTATAATGAATAACATTTACTTATAGATTTTTTTTATAATTAAAATAAAATACATTTAAATAACATTTAATTTAATGATTTGTATTATATAATTCATAAAATTTACTTTTCAGTTTATGTATTAGCAATACATCACATAAAAAGTAGGCTACACTATTGTCGCAATGCATTGACCAAACACCACTTTTCCGTTAAGAGGCAATATTGATTTCCAGGGGCATTTTTTTACCTTTGTATTTACACAGACTGTTTAATGCTGCTCAGGTGTATTTATTTGCAAAAAAACAAAAACAAAAAAAAAACCTTATTCCAATTAGCTTATAAATTAAAGAAACAGGAACTCATTCGAGGGTGAATCTGCAGTATCATGACAAAATTGTTGATTACTGCTCTTGATTTTTTAATAATGATTATTAACGATGATTAATAGAAAGTATTTTTGTGAGGAAAAAGCATGTCATCCTTGAGATCGGTTTGGGCCATCGCTAATTTCTGGTCTTAAACAACCCAGATGTGATGTGAAATGGTGGTTAGACCTGTGCATATTGATGAGGTGAGGTAGATGTCATGGTTTGAAAAGCTCCGGTTAGAAATGTCAGAGCTTTGCCTGATGAGGAAGAGTCTGTGGTTCGGTAGACGTGCACTCCGCTTTAGCGTCGTCATGTCCTCCAGCCCCGCTCTGCCAAGTGACAGACTCCCATGACTCATCGCTGCTGATCTCTCAGAATCTGCAGAAAGAGACGTGGAACATGAGAGGAGAGACTTATATAACCAAAAAGAGGAGTACTGAGACTTGAGTCGCTTTGGATAAAAGTGTCTACTTAAAGGGGTCATATGATGCGATTTCAATTTTTCCTTTATCTTTGGAGTGTTACAAGCTCTTGGTACATAAAGAAGATCTGTAAAGTTGCAAAGACTAAAGTCTCAAATCCAAAGAGATATTCTTTATAAAAGTTCAGAGTCAGCCACGCCTACCTAAAACGGCTCGTTCTAACACGCCCCCACATACCTACGTCGCTCTGTGGGAAGATTTGCATAACGCCGCCCAAATGTTCACGCAAAGAAAGAAGGCGTAACTTTTATTCTCGCTGTAGTATTGTTGTTTCCGCCGCCGCCGACATGTTGTGGAGACGCTGTGTGTTTGCGTTGTGAAAGCGAAACTACTTTGTTTGGTCTTCCAAAAGAGAGCAGCATCGTTTGACCCCTTTAAGTAACTGCTTACTTACAGACCAGCTGTGAGCTTTATTAAACCCTGTGCCAGTGTTAATGTGATTTAACTGACCAGAATCACCGAGATCCACTCAACATCCAAGCATCAGCTGTGTATAACGGCTCTGATATTACCCATCATCACAAGCCAGTAATGGATGGGACTGCTGCTGAGCTGGATAACTGCAGAAGTGGAAATGCAGTTAAAGGGAAATGTTAGATGAAATGGCTGCATTTACAGAGCACAGTGTGAGAGAGATTACCAGCATCTTTAAACGCTCATTTTAGTCAGGGAGCTGTTGAGGTGATTGCTTATGTCAGTTTCATCTGGAAAAAAAGTGGAATGTTGCTTTTTTGCTACACAACAAGACATCGATAAGCACATTCAGAAACGTTGTTCTTGTATGATGTCGGTATTTCCAACAATTGCATCTGGTTATTAGTGATACGGCTTTGGTGTAGTCATGTATATCATGAGTCAATGTGAAATGCTGTTTTCATCTTATTTTAGAACCATAATCTGATTGGTAAAACTGTAAAAAAAAAAAAAAAAAAAAAAAGGTTTAAAGAAGAAATGCATGTACACTACTGTTCAAAGAAAGAAGTCTCTTATGCTCACCAAGGCTATATTTATTTGATTAAAAATACAGTAAAAACAGTACTGTTGTGAAATAGTATTTCAGTTTAAAATAGCTGCTTTTTTATTGTAATACATTTTAAAATGTAATTTATTCTTTTGATGCAAAGCTGAATTTTCAGCATCATTACTCCAGTCTTCAGCGTCACATGATTCTTCAGAAATCACTCTAATATGCTGATTTGCTGCTCAATAAACATTTCTAATTATTGTCAATGTCGAAAACAGTTATTTTTACACTTTAATTATACTTTACTGTCACTTTTAATGTATCCTTGCTGAAAGTTTAAGTTCCGTTCCAATGAAAAAGTCTTAATGACCCTGAACGTTTGAACAATAGTGTTATGTATTTTTTATTTATAATTTTTATTTTTCATTTACTCAACACTTTTTAATGATATTTTGTGTATATATTTTAAATAACATGCACAAGAATCTAACACAGTAAGAACAGGATAATGTAAATAAAATAAAGTAAATAAGTAAAAAAAATGTAATGATGACTTTAAGATAGTTGAAATCAAGGTCCACTGTATTCGCTTGAATAATGTTTATGTGTGTGTTCCCCCCCTCTTTAGCATCAGCAGGACCTCCTGGCCCTGAAACATCAGCAGGAGCTCCTGGAACACCAGCGGAAGTTAGAGCGCCATCGTCAGGAACAGGAGCTGGAGAAACAGCAGCGGGAACAGAAACTCCAATTACTCAAAAACAAAGAACGCGGCCAAGAGAGTGAGTGAAAGACTAATTACCTGACTGAAACACATAAAGGTCTTTGATTTATTAGGCTAATCAGCACTGTGGCATGAACGTCTCTCTTGGTGTTATAATCGCTTTTCATAACCAGAATTAAAAACGTTCAGCCTGAACTAGTCAAAAAGCGCAAATTGTTGTCAAAGCCATGGACTAGAGGTTAGACAATGTATTGCACCGCTCATGTAGATGATATGAGTTTGAGTCTGGCTCACATCACTCCCTTCTAACCACCTGTTTTCCTTCTAAATTTGGTTGTCAGTTCACCTTTTAGTGTTTAATCCTGTTCTGTACACACACAGTTCAGTAATTTACGGGAGTGACAACTGCATTCTATAACTGAATTGACTCCAGAAAAATTCGGGAAAAAAAAACATCAAATAAGAACAAGCCCATAATAAACTCAAATCCAAATGCATTATCTTGAAAATAAGCTGCTGCGCCTGCCTAATTTATTAACTCCATAAACTGGTACGTTTTATGAGCTAAGCCCAAACAACAAGACAAAAGATGCTTAATTTGCATTGCTTATAATAAGTGGACATGGCAACCCTTTCAAGACTGTGCTCTGCAAAGTAGCCTTCCAAACATAAACAAAACATGATAGCTGTGTCGACACTGACCATAATGAGGTCTGCTCGCTGTAATATTAATTAAAAAAATTTTTTCGCCAAAACCAGTAGTCTGATAGCTTATAAGATTATTAAGTTTGTAGCACACACTTTAATATTTGGTGTTTCAGGCATGAGCAAGATTAACAACGCATGCACTAGTTGTGTATATTTTCTCAGAAAGTGTATACTTATCTAAGATGTTCCTGGCATTGCAGTACAGCCAGTCTATTTTTATCCGTCACTGTTGTCGTTTACACTGCGGTCACCTGTTGCCTGCGAGGAGCGTGTGTTGTCTGGCGGCACAGATGTGTACGTACACCAGCGACGGCCTCTGGGGACATGTTTACAGATGATAGGAAAGGTGGTAATTGAAGGAAAAGCTGTGAGAATTCATCCATCTGATGTGTTTCTTTCAGAGAGGGAATAATAGTGAGATAAAAGACATCTTTGTTTAACCGTCACAGTCTCAGTGGAATTGGAATAGAGAGTTTGCTCTCTGGTTAAGACCAGATAAAGGGATCTGAAGAGATATCTGAACCTAGTCGGGCTGCAGTGGAAGAGCTGTTTATCGACACCAGAAAACAAGTGCCAGCCTTTGTATTCGTGATCAATTGGGCACTCTTCGATCTTCTCTGTCTCAGACTATTAAGAGTTTTTTAAGACCATTTAGAAGACAAAATTACAGCACTGCAAATTACAGGGTTTAGAACTGGCGAAGAATTTGACAGGCACAATGCATAAAACCCCTTCCCAAGGCTTATAGAGAAATCTAGCGGTATAACACAGCTAGAGGTTTGTGATTTCCCTGAACTGTGGGCTCTGATCGACAGGTGCTGTGGCGAGCACTGAGGTGAAGATGAGGTTACAGGAGTTCGTCCTCAACAAGAAGAAAGCTCTGGCCCAGAGGAGCCTCAACCACTGCCTGCCCAACGACCCTCGCTACTGGTACGGGTGAGTATCGCAGCCTGCTCGGTGCTGATGTTTCAGAAAGGACATCTTACAGGTCCCGTTTACATCTGGCTTTGACAAAGCAGTCAACTGAGACAGAATTGCATGCAGTTTACACTTAGTATTAACATGCAACTTTATGCTTTTGTGAAGTTAATAAATATATGGTATATTTCTATGTATGTCTATAATGAACATCATTATAAAATAATAAAAATAATATATAAATAATACAATAAACATTTCAAATTAATGAAAAGCCAAATGGAAATTAGAGAAATGAATGTAATAAAAAGGTATATAATTTATAATTAATTAATTTAATTTAATAATTTATGCATTTAGCAGACGCTAAAGCGACTTACAGTGCATTCAGACGATACATTTTTTACCAGTATGTGTGTTCCCTGGGAATTGAACCCACGACCTTTTGCGCTGCTAATGCAATGCTCTACCACTATAGTGTAGTTTATTTTATAGCTAGTTTATTTTATTTTATCCCTGTAAGAAAGAGATTAATTTGCTGTTTTGTGTTGTGTTGTTTTGTTTTGGTTTGGTTTTGCATATTTGTGACAGATAGTGTGGGTCAGCTGCACCGATCACAAAAAATCTAATTATTTTGTTCTTTTTAATTAATTTATTTGTTTATTTATTTTTTTAATGAGCTTTGATTTTATTTTATTTTATGTTATTATTTTTTATTTTCTCCAAATGATGAGCACGGTGGCTATGTTTACATGCACAATTTTTGGTTCAATCGGACTGATTTCATTCCGATTGATGAATCTGAATGTAGTGTTTACATGAACGCTAAATAAAGTGATCGGGTTGATGTGCAAAGCTTCAAATGTCACAAGCTTCAAATCGGAATTGATTTTTTTTTACATGCGCACACTGCACAAATATAGAGTTTCTCACTGTTTGCACATAACCACTCTCCTGCACGGTTTCTTTATTTGTTTTTAACAGCAGAATTAAAGGTGCAATAGGTGATTGTCTTCAGAAAATTTTTTTGTTATGCAAGGACACGCATTTATACAACACTTTATTCAAAAGGAAAAACTGCGTCATATACGTCATTACGCTATTTCTGCATCATTGCACATACGCAGTATGTTTCAGAGTTCAATCCGATTGAGTGTTTGCATGCACTCTCAATCGTATTAGAAAAGGAATAAACCACCCGCTTCAATCCGATAGAAATTTCATTCCGATCGAGCTCAATCGGATCGATTAAGGTGTTTACATGAAGGCTTTTCAGTCCGATTGAGCCGTCAATCCGATTACAAACGGATTATTTGGTTGCATGTAAACGTAGCCACTGATTCATTGACAAGTGAGTATTTGGTGTTCACTGCTATCTTAGATGCTTCAGGACAGATTAGCATTTACACTATGAATACAGTGTCGACACAAGTGTTTTAACTACCTCTGAATGTGGTTTGAGTGATCGAATACTGAGGTGGTTTTGGACATGTTTACACCTGTATTTAGCACTGCAGATCAAAACGGAGCTAAAGAAACACATGCTACACAAAATCGATGCCAAACTTCAGAGTGTAGTTTAGTTCTTCACTTGCAGCAGTTTTTTTACATTTTTACCAAAGTAAAAAACCATATTACGTAAGTTTCTACTTTGATTGATTGACAGTTTTGTTTCTCCCTTCACCACACAAAGTAGCTAGCAGTAGTAGTGTATCTTTATATTTGAATGCATAAAATGAAATTTATGATGACAAAGCTGAATTTATTGAATTTGTAAATATTTTTTGTATATATTAGTTAAATAATATATATTGTTTAATATATATTATTTTATTTGTTTACTACTTTATATTATATTTATTTGTAATATATTTGTTTAATAGTACTTTAAATCTAATAATAATATATATTCATATTATATACATTCTTGTTACATATGTAAATTCAATTGCTTTATCTACAACTACCTGCAAATACCAATGTTTCGGATAATCAAGTAATGTCTTAAAATCATTTGCTATTTATTTATCTGCTGATTGTTTCTTTGAATTAGTTTAGGGAAAAAAACATTCACTTTTGTAGGGCTGTCAAATCGATTAATCACAATTAATCGCATCCAAAATAAAAGTTTGTTTACATAATATATAAAGAAATTTTAAAAATTGGGGCTGTCAAATCGATTAATCGCATCCAAAATAAAAGTGTGTTTACATATAATGTGTGTGTATTTATTTGTATATATAAATAAACACGCATACATGTATATATTTAAGAAATATTTACAAGTGTGTGCGTGTGTGTGTATATATATATATATATAT